TTTTGTATTCATTCTATCTATTGTAGTTTTCGAGGAAATGAATGAAATGTAAAAACACTGCTTTTTCTAGCATTTTTTAAACTTTGAACACGAATTATAGCCAAACGGCTAATACCACAGTAATATGTCGATACTTGCTAGATTCCCCAAACATTCAGCTTTCACATGCATCTTTTGGATTCATTCTACGTATTATTGTTTTCGAGTAAAAGCGATAACATGTAACGAAAGTACCGTTTAAAAGAAGGGATAGATTATTTTCAACTTTTATTTTTAATTGATTATTATTTTAAACCATGTTAAAGCGAAAACATTTAAACAAAGTTTCATGTAAAACAAGGGATACATTATTTTCAACGTTTATTTTTAATTGAATATTTTTTAAAACGTGTAAAAGCAAAACATGTAAATAAAATACTGTGTAAAACGAGAGATAGACTATATTCAACATTTATTTTCAATTGATTATTAGTTTTAAGCATGATAAAGCGAATACATGTAAAGAAAGTACTATGTAAAATGAGGCATAGGTGTATTATTATACCCCCTTTAATTATCGTTATTAAATAATAAAAAATGTAATTTTCGTTATAAGATCGATATCTTTCTGCTCTTCATACAGACATTTTTTTACATCGTACAAATAAAAATGCATTGAATATTTCAATAAATAAAATAGAATTGACCCGTGTGAAGAATGCGCAGATATTCGCATTGAATGGAGAAAATATCTGTAATATTATACGTGAAGATATATTTTTCAATTGTCCAGTTTTGCACGAATATCAAGAAATATTTTCTATCTACTTATTTGTGACTTCTTTCTATAGCATCTACGCTTTACGAAATGGAAAGGATTTTAGCTCAAAAGATTATTGTCAGGGGAAATAATGATGACAACTCCGATTTTCCTATACAATTTTGCATTTTTTAGTTAGCATTTAATAACACTCACATCCACCCTTCTCGTATTATTATTACCAAGTGGTTATCAAATTTAATATATTTTTATAAACTCATATGTCTACAAATAGAAAATTAAATTTTACCCGAATTCCATTCAGGTTGTATTATTAACATTTCCTTTGTGTTTATTATTGATCCGGAAGCGGAAAGCGCATTTCAAATCTATCATAAAGGGAACAATTCCGCTCTCAGATGAAGAATTTCTTAAAAATCTGATGTATAAAGGTTGAATAGTTTATAAGCAATTGAAGTAATGGAGATAGGAGCATTTTACATGAAGAAAAGATCACAGTTACATTTTAGAAAATATTTGTTTAATATTCAATCCTTATTTTCAGCGTATTATTGAAATAATTTTAGTTTATGATTGAAACAGAAATAGATTTTTACTCCAGAAAATGCAATAGAATCCAACTAAATCCAATTAAATTATAATTTGTATAATTTAGTATCGCATCTAATAAACAATCTTTTATTTGATCGAGACTGAAAACTTTTCAAACATTCCACATTATTTACGTAGTTTACTGAAATTTCTATAACGTTGATCAAATTAACTAATCTAAATATAAGTTGTATAATTTTCACTTGACAAAGTGAAACGCAGTTTAAATTAAATGCGGGGTTTCAATAAAAACTGGTTTTTATATTGCGAGAAATGCTGTCAAAGCAGCACTTCACTTGATTACTAAATCCTGAACACATCATAACAATGTACAACAGCCAAAACAGATCGATTCCAGCAGCCTCCGGCTCTCCCTGTTCACGAAACCATCTAACCTTGACAATACTAACCTACCCCTATTTATTCAGGACACCCCCAAAAATCCGTCTGCGAGCAAAACCAAAACAAATATTACAATTTTCACAACAACTCTTTGATACATTTTAATTCAATTATTTATATTATCCCCAATTTCACATTTAATCACTTTAAACTTTCTATTTTTCCTATTTAATTCTATGAATTTAGTGAAAATATTAATATAAAAACAAACAGTACTCAACAATTGAAGTAATTTCGTTGAGAAACATTGTTTAACTAAAATTTTGGTGTTTACTAAAATTTTTAATTATATTAATTTATGTATATTTTCTCTTCTGATCTCTATTACAGAAATTGTCTTAATCCAAATTTGATTCTCTTCATATATTACTTAACTATTATATATTTTTGTAATTAAAAGCTTCTCTAATACAGGTATTCCCCGACTTACGAATTAGTTCCGTTTCAAAGTGTTATTCCTAAGTCGGGGAATTTTAAAAATTTCAAAATATACTTACCTGACCATACTTTATCATAGTTTTTACTTTTATATATTTTCCGTTAAATTCCGTATTACTGACTGCATAAATTTGAAAAATAGATTAAAGCAAACAAAATACTTACTAACAAATACTTTTCAATGTAGACATCACAATTATTTAATAAAAAGCGACAAAAGAAACAAATGCAACAAAACATATTGTATATCTTCCAAAAATATTATATTTTTATTAAAGAAATTATTATTTTTTGTTTGGACAGTTAATTTTTTTGTAACAAGTTAGAGCTTTTAAAAGTCCGAGAGTTCGTAAGTCGGCGGATACCTGTACAATATTATATTTCCTATTAAATAGAGCCTTGTAAACTCTTATCATGCAAATCTTATGGAGTCGCGTCTTGCTTAAGTTTTTTTTATTATTGATGGTTTATGAAATAGATTTTGTTTTATTATGAAAACCATATTTTATATATTTGAATTTAATAGAATCTACGTTTATAACGAAATAAATGAAAATGCTAGAAAATATAATGAAGGGTGGTTATGAAAAAAGGAAGAAGAAAAACATCAGAGAGACTAAAAGCTAATTGAAAACTGAGTAAATTGTATAATTGGATGCATTTGTCTCTTTAATTAAAAATAATTGCTTGAAAATAATATTTATGAGCATCGAGGTGTTATTGATGTAAATATTGTGGCAAATTTTGTAGAAATGTTTTGTGCAGGATGAAAACGTGCCGAAAGGTCAAAGTGTGTCTCGCGCGTGCATCCCGGCTGTTTCTAGGGACTGTGAAACCCTTGGCCCCGCGACCCACAGTTACGTATCCATGGAGATCTCCGGGAGCCGTCGCAAAGGCCATACGATGTGCCAAACTCAGTAACGGAACCAGACGACGAATTATGCAATCCGTCGGATGGAAATCTTTCACAGATCATTGGTTTTGAGCTAAAATTTAACTAAAATTAAAGTAAATTTAATACAGCGAAAACAATTATGTTTTCCGGGACAGCTGGAATTAGGGGGTGGCGTAGGAAGCTGCAGTGGTCTGACCGGGAGGGAGTAGGATGCACGGGAAAGGCGCGTGGGGTGGCATATGAGGTGGTGATGCAGAGGGATGGGTATGAGCTGGTTGGAAACAGCCGAGTGGCGGTGATGGGACGGAAGGGTTCATCCCTTCCGTCTCTGATAGTTGAGCGGTAGGCGGTTTAGGGGCGGCGTCGAGCGGGTGGCTTAGGCTTACGAGATTCGCCCAGTAATTTCGATCGATATTATTTATTGTTATCGGGGACGGTGCTGGATTTTGGTTTGTTGTCGGATGCTGTCGTCAGCCGCCCTCAGCAACCCTTCCTTTTCCGGACGTTTCTGCAGCGTATCGATCGATGCATCGAGCTCATAAACGATCCGCACTATATAAACCAGTCAGACAACAACTTGCACCCAGCCAGCATCGTTGTGCAGTTCTACACATCCTACTGTCTCAGATTCATAACCACAAGCTGAAGTAAGGTACTGATACTCTTACATCATTACTTCTTCTCAATTATTAATACTTCTTTTCTTACATCAACATGAAACTATCATCATTATTTAATCATTTCTTTTTTAATTCATCACTTTTGTTTTTCAAATATTCTTTGTACTTCTATTTTTTTAACAATAATAACAAATATTCTCTCTTGACCCAAAAACCCAATATTATTCTTTACATATTTAATAACTTTGTTTTAACATATTCTTTCAACTTTGTAACTTTTTAATAATTATTTGTCCATCTTTGTTAATACTTAATACATATATATTTTAGAATTAACAAATTACTATTATATAATTCCTATTTTGTTCTAAATTTGTATTTCTATGCTTATATTATTATGTATTAATACGTGCATTATTTCTTGAATCTATCTATTGTTATGTCGTATAAAAATAAAGAAAGTGTAATATTTGTATGTGTACTAAATATTATATAAGAATTCTTGCTTGTTTCATTTTAGTCTTTAAATTCTACAATTATAATTGTCTTCACTTTTTACATAAGTTCAAGTTTTCTATATAATTAATTGATTTTCAAAGTAAAAATTATTCATTATTAATTTAAAATTAATTCAATGAATTCAAATTACTAATAAATATTATAAATGTTCTTTTTTAACTTCATTAAAGTAATAATAATTTCCAAATTAATAATTTAAGTTCTCTTTCCAATATGTTTTTGTTTTTATTACTTGTTTAATAAAAGAAAATATATTTTTTTTATAATTATTTATTTTTTCCATAATATAATAAATAAATATTCAATAACTTTTACAAATATTTTGTGGTTTGATGGTTTTTGATGAAAATATACTTATTAATTAAAAAATGTTTAATTTTCAATAATGGACAAATAAAATCAATATAATTGAAAGAATATGCTAGATACAAATGGTTGAAATAAATAATAGGGCTTAATTTACTTATATAATTAAATAAAATATTATTGTTAATAAAAAAAATAATTAGAACAAAGATTCATTTAGTAGTAGATGCAGAGTATATTCGACTACATATTTCTTTTTTATTGAACAATTACCATACTAATAACGTAACGAAAACGGAAACAATGCTTTATGCAAGCAAGGTATTGTTTCTTCTGGTGTTTCAATCCTACTTTACATTCTACATTGAAATTAAACAATTAAACAAAAACGAAATAGAATAACGCACAATAATTACAGGACCATCCAAACTCCATCTCCGACTTATACAATACAAAATATTGCAATATTAAAAGATGTTGTGCACATTTCTATGGAATTAATATTTCCTCAATTATAGCAATTAACGTTACTAATTAACAATCTTATTTCAATAGTAATGAAAACAAATTTTGGAAGTTGATTTTCATTTATTCCGACAAATGCATTAATTTATAATCTGCTTTGATAAAGAGTTGTTTTTTTAATTTTGTTTCCGCTGTAATCGCAACAATAACTGCGTAGCAAAATATTTCAATTGAAAGCTACAACTCATTAATATCGTGATATCAAGAGCATTATGCGTATTTACACAGAACCGATAATATTTTACTTCGAAGCTATTGAGAAAAAGCATTAACAGAACAATGCTAGTGATTACAACTCAATGGATTTGAAAAAAAAATGCATGATTTATTCAAGCAATTTGATAGGCAAATACGATGATTATGTTGTTATAATGATTCGAAAGAATGTCGGAGCGCTCGAGATTTAACCCAGTGAACCATTTTGCGGGTTTCGGAGAATCGATATACACTGGAACCTCGCTTAACAAGTTTAATCCGTTCCAATATCCGAATTTTTACTCGTATAGTTTTCACTCAAAAATACACATAATATGTTACACAAGTTTTAAAAATTTGCAGGCGCGCAATCCGGGACTTCTCTTCTCATTATGCGAAACGTCGCTCGTTAAGCCAGTCATTTTTCTTACAATTCGTTAAGCGAGGTTCCACTTTACATACATCTATTATATAAATGTTAAATCTACGCATTCAATCCGACAAATAATATTATTTATTATCAATAGATTTGCTATAAATAACATTTTTTTTTAAATCTTTTGTCTTTAATTATGAAATAAAAAGTGTTTTACGATTATATTTAGGCCTATAAACTTAATGATGTATAAACTATTAAACTATAATAAACAACATGCTTTTATTGCAAATAAAAGATTTTATTTACAATTTTTTTAAATTCAGAATTTTTTTTTTTAATTATTTCAATATTTTTATTTATTTTTTTTAAATAAACTATTTATTACAAATAGTTCGAATTTACTATATTTTAGTTAAAATAAAATTATTGATTATTTCACTCTTAAAGTATTTGAAGTAATTCTGTGAAATTATTTGCATGACGTTTAGTCTCTGTATTATTTTTTTGTTTTGTTTTCCAAAGTATTACGTAACCATTGGTTCGTGCGAGAATTGCAATGGTCTGTGGATGGATTAACTTGTTGCCCGGTTGTAAACCTGTTGCCATGAACCCTTGTCCTACCGTAAATCCACAATCGGCTCATATATTACTTACATTACGTGACCAACCCGAAACAACACAAACACGCAACGAAATGCTACAACAACAACAACAAACATTGCTTAAATTGCGAACACCAGAAGAACGTCACGAATCTACTTTCATCTGCTTACATCCATCATTAATTCATTAGAAATTCATTTCATTTGTTTGTTTTTCGATCGCAAGTCTACATCAATTTTTTTTCTAGTGGTGCAAGTCTTGGATTGCATGAAGTCTTTACCATAACAATTGAGGGGATACAGACGTTGAAAGCTTTCGCAGCCGCTAAGGTTGCGGAGGTTAATGCGAATATTCACAGCGAGGATAGGAGGAAGGCTGAATTAGCCAAGAAGGCTGAGATTACCAGAAAGCTCGAGTATGATAGGCATATTGAGGAGGCTATAAAGGCTGCTCGTGCTAAGAGGCAGGAAGACGCCAAGAAGCTTGCGCAAGCTGAGAAGGCCAAGAAGGCGGAGATGGCTAAGCTTGCTAAGATGGCTAAGAAGGCAAAGAAGAATGCTTCTGCTGCTTCTACTTCTTCTTCGAGTCCTTCAAAACCACGTGGAGGAGGAAAGAAAGAGAAGAAGCAGATATCGAAGAGTGCTGAATGCATCTCAGAGGAGAGCATCTCTTCTGATGATGTGGCGGCCGGTCGTGGTTCTCGCAAACGTCGCGGACCTTGCTTCGCTATCTTGAAGAGCTGCATAAGATCCGATATAAAGGAGTGCTTTAGCAAGTTCAAGTTCAGCAACATGATGGAGATGTATTTCGTTGACGGATTCAAAGTGTTGCTCAGACGTCGCTACTCCACTGAAATGCTCTAATTCGATGAAGCTCAATTTCCAAATGAAACTTTAGTCGCTTGCTATAAATCCAAAAAAAAAAACGCTTTAAGCTCAATTGAAGAAAATCTTCCATGCAAAATGCAGCAGTAGTAAGCTTTGTTCTTGGAAAAATTCCTGCATAATTGATTAAGTTGTTTGGAGAAATCAGTAGATCAAAACTTCTCATTTCAAATAATTTCTTCAATGAATTTCAAATAATATCGTCAATTAATATCTTCAATCAACTTGAAATAAAATCGTGAAGTAATAAAATAAAATCAGTTTTTTCTAAAAAATAACCTTTGTAACGAAAAATCCTATTTAATTATATTTTATTTAATTGAAGGAGAAGTTAGGATGTGCTGCATTTCCTTAATAGATTAAGAGTATGAACTATAACCTTGGGTTATCGAATATATCAGTCAACAACAAAAAATTCCAGAAAAGATGATTCCAAAATTAAATAGAACCTGTCGTTCGATAACCTACCAAATCTTAGGTGCGTTGCAGAAAAGAAACAGTCAAAAGCAGAAAATGTTTAGTAACGAAATCTTCCTCAGAAAAGCATATATCAATAAATTTAAATGAAAACCTTTACAATTAACACCAACCGGTTGTGTATCCCTTTTTGGGAATAAATACTAATGATTAAGAAAACAAAAATCCATATACGCTTTACCCGAGAAATGAACATAAGTTCCCATTATGTTGACTCGGGAAAATTTGGAGAATAAATATATAAAAAATTTCAAATTTTACTAATTTTTTTTTCTTTCTTTTATGAGATCAAAAAAATAAATAACTTTTTATACTGATATATTGTAAATGTTTGTATATATACGCATGTATTCTTAAGCAATTCTTTCAAATTCATTTAATTTTGGAATCCAATAAAATTTCGTTACCTGACTAATTATTAATTACCCGAACATGCAGAAATATTTCAATTGTAACAAATGTTAAAAAATATATATATAGAAAATATATGTAAAATACAAAAAATGTGACCTGATACTTCATCAAAAGCGAATTTTGGATTCAAACGTTTTTTAAGTTTATATAATTTCGCTTAATTATTTTATTTGTTAACTTTTCTATATCTCGGACATCAAAGTACCTTCAATTTGTAACAACCTACAACCGGTTGTTTTACTGTCTTTCCCTTTTTTTTTGGGAAATAACCTGATTATAAAATACGCTTATGGAAATTACATGTCTTTCTGATGTACTTTGTACGACGCAACTAAGTGAAAATATAGCTCAAGCATAAAAAGTAAATATATTTTTGTCCCGAATTTATTTTCCCAATCCATGGATGAATTATTGAGCAGTCTATATATCAATCCCATTACGTGTTATTAAAAATGCAACCTTGTTTTATTTGCAAATAATAAATAGATACATTTATTATTTAAATAGAAAAAATATGAATTAATCAAAATAAAATAAAATAAATACATTTTTGCGTAAAACTGTAAATGCAGATTGATAATTTATACAATGTGTGCTTGTTGAATTAGTAAACAGAAACAAGGTGTTTGGGGTGAATCAGGCTTCCAGCTGTTGAAAAATGTTTAACCTTATTGCTATTGTGATGATTGGCGATGTTATGAATATAGAGGTTCGCACCCAATACGGTCCAATCGAAATTACGTTGACAAGAAAGTACGTAATAGTATACCAAAGCAGGTGCAGCCTTCTGCTGTTTATAACCATCACAGAGAAATTATTCTCCAGAACAACATCATTCAGTATAGCCACAAGCCTAACTGTCTCGTAGCATAACTTCAGGAAGGCCATACACGCATGGACCATCAACATCTCGTAATACCTGAGCTTTCTCGTCACTCGGTACATCCCATTGCCAATAAAAAATACTGAAAATAATCAAGAACATTTACACTAACAAAACATCACTTAAATTAAATAAACTAACACTTACAGTACATAAAAATCGCGTAATAATTCATTTTTCGTCAAATTCACAAACAAAATCTATCTGCATACTGATTTCGGATAGATTCAAAAATAAATCAAATCTCATTTCAATTTTTTTTTTCAGTTTTTTTTTACCCCTCAACTTGAATCGAAAAAGTTTTTATTCCGGAGCGCACGTTCTAATTTAGTTTCAGGTGGAAATAAAATATAAATAAAATATACTGCATTTTATATGTATATAAGCATCGAGAAAATATAATTACATTTTTTTAATCGAATTCTCGTCAACAGCGAACTTTGCGCAACAAACAAATGACTGTGAAAACCAATCCCAAATCCCTTTGCGTACTTCATTTCATCCGCAACTAACGCTCATGAAAAAAACTCTTTCCTTTGCATAGCGTAATCATCCACAGATCGCAATATTTAATATCTAATAATGGATACGCCAATAGAATATAAGAAAAATTGTTACGCAACTTTTATAACCTTTCTTTCTAGTGACAGAATCAAATTCATCGAACAATGATTTTTTTTTCATAATGAAAATTATTGTGTAAACATCTTCGATTAATAATAAAACCTTTGAATTTTCTTTTATTTCATTTACCTTGTCAAAACTCAGAAACGAAATAGTTTAACAAATCTTTCAATTACTTAATAAAAATAATATTTGTTGAAACACATCTTATTTATTCATAATTAATTATATTTTTTCTATTTATATAAATATTTTTTTGTTTATATAAATTAAATTAAAATAAATAATTTGCAAAGAAATATGAAACATTTGTATTTGAGATATTTTCTTCCAATAATATTGCATGAATTATAAACGAAACCTTCAATTCAAAATGACTACAATAAAACTGAAAGTAACAAAGAAAATAGAAATTTTTTGTTTCAATAATATTTGATTGCATTTTGCAATAACATTTATTTTTATTATGTAATATTTGTATCATCAAAATCAATAATTCATTATTAAAATCATGTTATTATATATAATATGAAGCAGCTCGGGTTTTCTGAAATTAAATAATAATCCTAATTGCAACAGTAAAAAGCAACAAAATTAAACATTTTCATATATAGCAATAATAATCGTATAAGGAAAACGAATGTATTGATTTTTATTATTTGATTTGATTGAAGTATTAGTATAAAATCATTAAAAGTGTTATAAATGATCGGAAATAAAGAATGACTATAATTAAATTAGGCTTATTTGATTCGATTCTAAGAATGTAATACCATTTACCTGTACAATTACCTATCTGTATAATAAGTAAACATCTAAAACCTCTGCCATATTTATTTATTTCTAAGTGATTATTGTCACTATATTTTATAAAAACTAAGAAATATTAGAACAAAGTGATATAATTTTGCCAAAATTAAGGTAAAAAAAAAATGGATAAATATTTTGTATTCTTTTATTGCATATTTAAAGGAAATGTAAATGTAAAAAATAAATGATTTCCTTTATTTTTACATTTTATATTTCGTAAGCGAAATGTAACAGATTATTTATGTCTAGGTGTACAGTAAATATGCAAGTGTGGTAGAACTCTTGATGGTGCAGTTACCAACACACGGTGATGCTGCATAATGCACGACAAGACGACTTCGTAATCTCCTTCCGGCTCGGTAGTGACGAATTCAGTCGTGAAATTCTGGAAAAAAAACAAAACAAACAATAGAAACATTAGTTTATGTAAACAAATAATAATGATATAATACTTACTCGATATGGACAATCCAACATTATGTACAGTTGGCCTAAGATCATAAGTTTGACGTACGATGTAAGCTGTGACTCCGACATCATCAGCAGGTTGATTGTTACTGAAATTTATAGAAGAGCAGACATATAACGATGAAAAATAATGTACAATACAGTAGAGCACGCACGTTGCTAAGGGCAAATGCAAAATGGCAAGATTCGAGTCACTGCGACTACACCGAAAATAGCGAATGAAATTGCGTAAGCCGACCAATCAGAGCTCACGAATGGGAGGATGGGAATCCTCCAAGAGCACCTGGAAATGGTAGATTTTAATTTATATTTGCAACAATCATTTTATCGATTGTTTCTATTTTTTTATTTTTTCTAATTTAAACTTTTATACGCTTTATAAAATAAAACGTGTTCATGGAAACGCGCCTCATTCATTAAACACAAACACTAAATATTCAAATAACTAAACAATTCATAATAATTTTTCAACTTTACTGAAAATTTATTTATTTTTATTTGAACTCAACACTTCAGCATTTTAATGAGGATGGAAGGGGTGATGACCCAAAGCATTTGGGCGCCAATAATATTGTTTTATTGAGTCTTTCTTATTCTTGAGCGCAAATTGGAATGAAAAGGCCACATATCAATACAATATTAGGTAATATTATTAAATTGTAGATAAAATAAAATAAAATAAAATAAATATCTTTTATATCTTTTAAACTGTTTTATTAAAAATGATGACTTAACGTTGATCGTGAAAAATTTTAGTTGAATTTTCAAATTAGGAAACGTTTAATTAGTTTGCATTAATTAAATTCTGAATTTAATTCATATTTGCTGGGGCAAACCTGTGCTGACAATTGCAGACCAGACCGCAGATTCGTATTTTCATACAATTAGCGTTGATTACGTATTTGGTCTTAATTAATTAACGTGACAACTTAGATGAAAATTGCCACTTTCAGTTCAATTGCAATGCGGTTTTCCTGCTAGCAATTACCGATAATCTCGCACGTATTAATGCATTAATTGCAACATTCTTGGGTAAATATACAAGCATTTGCATTGTTACTTATCCAAAGTTATTTTGCTTCATACATACACAACGTTAGAAAATCCATAAGTTAGGAAACTTAATTCATTTTATTACCAATTTATTATATTTACCTGGTTTTATATCATGGAACCGTCATAAACTCAATTATATAATAATCATACAAAAATTAAAAGTTATTGAATATTTATGAAATTTTGAGGTTATTCTTCCAGAAAGCCAACGTTAAATATTATATTACTTTTTGTAATTATTTTAATTAAATTTCTAATAACAACGTATCCTTCATGTTAATTAAGTATTGTAATTAAGCAATTACTTATGTTTATCATTATTTTATTATAATAATTAAATGAAATATAAATGAAAATTAACCTCAAAATTTTATAATCTCGCTTATAATGAAACAACCCCCAGTTCTTTCTGGCTCCGCCTTAATTGATAATAGGGTGAAAATTACCTACCTGTTTAATAAATAGGGTCGCTTTCTTAAACGAGTTGCAGCCCCTATACAAAACTCCTCCTATTTTACAACACAATAAAAATTTGGTTACCACAATAATACTTTCTTGATAGTCGATAGCATTTGTTTTACTGGATTTTGATACAGTCAGGATTTCGATATTGTGGGGATTATGGTTGTCGGGATTTCGATATAGTGGGGATTATGGTTGTCGGGATTTCGATATAGTGGGGATTATGGTTGTCGGGATTTCGATATAGTGGGGATTATGGTTGTCGGGATTTCGATATAGTGGGGATTATGGTTGTCGGGATTTCGATATAGTGGGGATTATGGTTGTCGGGATTTGATATAGTGGGGATTATGGTTGTCGGGATTTCGAATGTCGGGATTTGATACAGTCGAGCTATTCCGCGAAGATAACTCATTAATGTTCTGTTTTGGCGGTCATATAAATAAAAGACACTGTCGGGATTTCGATACAGTCGGGATTTCGATATAGTCGGGATTATGGTCGGGATTTTGATATAGTCGGGATTTCGAATGTCGGGATTTCGATGTAAAAGGATTCACACAACATCATTTTCATTCCTTTTTTTTGTCGGGATTTCGATCGTATAGTCGGGATTATGGTTGTCAGGATTTTGATATAGTCGGGATTTCGAATGTCGGGATTTCGATGGAAAATAGAAAACAAAAATATATATCTGTAACATATTTTATTCCATTACACAAAATAGAAATATTTTAATTCATAAAGTTTGGTAAACAAAATATTAGTATATGCGCGACGTGTACTGATGGTCGGGACACCATTACAATATATTCCAGAATTTCAAGACACAGAAATACTTGTGTTTGAGGAAATTCCGAGGTGAACTCATATGAACATTCCTAAGCAAAAAAAAATATGGGATTACTAACAATAATATAAAATTGAGTAAATATTTACGTTATATGGAGGCGGTAATCTCTGGTATAATTCCGTCACGATTAAATAACGAACGTAGGATTCTTGTTGATATATTGCCATTTCGAATATGATTACTATCACTGTAATTTATAGATAATTATACTTTTAATTATGATATGCAACAGAAGATTTTGCAAACTACTCACCTGTACGATTATAAAATTAAGGTTTATAGATCCTCACGTTGGGAAAGACAAGTAGAAAATGGCTATATCCGACCACCTTCAACAGTCTTAGAAATAGAAATCATGTAAGCCAATAAGAACGAAGTCCAGATAACACAACTTCCGGTTCTTCAAATTCAAATTTGCAACCGTCATAATATTTACCATTGATTTTTCGCATTCTCACAAAAATACGTTTTTTTAGTAAATACATATACAACATCGTTATAACTATAGAAGTAACAACACATATCACTAATTAAGTAATAACACTGGTAGTAAGCTTGTTTTTCTTTTAATTTATTAGTAGGTTTGGAAAGTTCAAAGATTCAAAATCCTAATATAATCTATAAACTACAAAAGAGAGTAAAACATTTTAATACTTTATTTAACTATTTATTAATCAATACGAAATAAATATCATTTACTTATTACAACTTAGAAAGTTACTTGTGTTTGGATAAGGCCAACAAATTGTCACTAATTAAGTAACCCAATTGCAGCAAGTATTTATACAAGTACTTTTTTTACACTCAACGTTTTATATGTGTAAAATATAGAAATAATTTACTGATTACCTTATTCTGATCTACTTTTCAACAGTTATATATAAATATAAAACTATGTCAACAAATATAGATGGAGGAAAAAATAAAACAAATTTATTATGTACAAATATTTCG